TGGAAACCAGTTGTTGATAAATTGAAGGTCAAGCTCTCTGGATGGAAAAGGAGATTTTTGTCCTTTGCTAGTAGGCTGACTTTGATCAAGGCAGTATTATCTAATTTGCCAGTGTATTACCTATCACTGTTTAAGATGCTAGAAGGAATTGCCAAGGAAATTGATAGAATTCAGGCTGTATTCTTATGGAGAGGCACAAACTTGAAGAGGAAATTGCATATGGTGAGATGAAAGGAGGTAACTATGAGCAAAATACAGGGAGGGCTGGGTATTAGGAGAATAAGGGATGTAAATGATTGCCTATTATTTAAGTGGTGGTAGAGATTTGCAAATGAAGGGGAAGCTTTATGGAAGAAGGTGATCTGCAGCAAGTACAATCTTGAAGGGAGAGAATGGTTTCCTTTTCTGAAACAAGGTAATAGAATCTCAAAACTGAGTGACATCTTAGCTGTAGCAGAGCATAGAGCCAATTTGTTCCATTTTTATGTAAGTAACTTCAAGATTGCAATGGGTAATGGGATTAGAGTGAAGTTTGGCATGATAAGTGGTGTGGTGATATGTCTTAAAGAGGAATTCCCTAGATTGTTCAGGATATCTACTGAGAAAAGGGGCTCCTTAAGGCTCTTTGTTGAAAAGAAAGGAAATTCGGAAAATTGGGAGTTAAACTTCAAAAGGCATCTGTTTGTTTGAGAGGATGAAGAACTTCTCAGGCTCAAAGATGTGCTGAGATTGGCCCCATCAATTAATTTGAATGGTGTGGATAAACCAGTTTGGTTAGTAGCCAAATCAAGGTAGTCTTTTGTCTCAACCCTTTATGATCATACAGTTGTAGATGCTGCTGAGTTGGGTTTTATCAGTAGATTAGTGTGGGTGAATTATCTTCCACCCAAAGTGTAATTCTTTGGTGGCTTGCTTGAAAACATAAGGTAAAAACCTCTGTGTTTCTACAGAGGATTGGGATACTAGATGGGAGTATACCTTCTGAATGTGTGTTCTGCAAAAATGAGCCAGAGACAGTAGAGCATGTGCTTATCTTGTGCCCCATGGCCTGGAGGGTGTGGACTGGTCTATTGCAGTGGTGGGGTGTTCACTGGGTTGTGCCTAGATCAGTCGAATGTCTACTGCAAGCAATGGTGGGCTGGCATCTGGTTTAACAAATCAGAGAGGAGAATATGGAAGGCTATTCCTCTTATTGCTCTTTGGTCCATATGGAAATATAGAAATGATTGCTTGTTCAATGGTGGTCAACCAAAGATGGGAGAGTTGCAGGAATCAATTATCATCAGAGTAGCTATTTGGCTCAAAGATTCATTCAAAGACTTCCATTACTCTGTTAATGATTTCTTGTTTAACATTTATCAGATTAGGAAGTGTATCGGTGGAAGGGTGTGAAGTGTCGTTGTAATGATCTTTGTGGGGAGTTAAAATCTGGGAGAGTTGGAATCTCTCTAACTCCTTTTGGGGTTTGGGATTGCATATGATTTGTTGAGCTTTGGGTGCCAACATAGTTGGGATGTTTAGTTTGACATTGATGCAATTTTTACCAAACCTTTATGTTATTTTTCTACTTGAATAAAATCTTTCCTTTGTTTGCTGCTCAAAAAAAAAAAAAAAAAAAGTTTCTGCGTATTTCAAAGGTCCTCTGGCAACAATAGTTTGGTTCATCTTTTGATATCTTCTTTAGCCTGTTCGGAGATATTTTGTGCAGTTGATTTTGATGAGGTCCTTTCTCTTGTTATTATGATCTGTTAGAAGTCACCTTTGTGAGACCTTGGTGTCTCTTTCAAATCCATTTGTAAACAAGGTGATGATAGTGGAATCGGACTTTGGCTCCTTGGACGTACCTTGGTTTGAGGAAACTATGTAAAAATTCTACGTCTTTGGTTGATTTACTTTTTGCACAAATTATTTTTTGTACTATTAATTTGCACTTGTGAGAAATTTATCTATTTTTTTTTCAACAAAAAATGGATGTTTTCCACGAGTATAATAGATGAAAGAAAATGCAAAAATAAGTAAGAAAAGCATAATTTTTTTACGTGATTCCTTCAAACTGAGGTACGTCCAAGGGATCAAAGTCCGATTCCACGATCAGCAGATTGTTTACAAATAGATTACAAAGGTTTCACAAACACCCTTAGGTGAATTCCAACAAATCACAAAAACAAGAGGGCAGACCTCACCAGAATGATTGAACAATTTGTCCTTTGAATCAACTAATGAAGATACCAAAAAGCTAAACCAAATTTGTAATGCAGGCAGCCCCTTCGAAGCTACTCCATGAAACAGCAAGTTACCATCGAAGATATAGATAACCCTTCCAGTGATTGACAAAGCAATATGAAGAACAAGTCTTGGAAAAACAAAGTGAAGCCCAAGCTGTAGACTTCTCTAATGGATAATAATTATGTAAATACAACACCAACAATAAATGTTGGCTATTAGACTTCCAACTCCAGCAAATGTACTATCGCTACAAAGAGCAAATCAAAATTATGAGTGACATCTTAGCTGTAGCAGAGCATAGAGCCAATTTGTTCCATTTCTATGTAAGTAACTTCAAGATTTCAGTGGGTAATGGGATTAAAGTGAAGTTTTGGCATGATAAATAGTGTGGTGATGTCTGTTTTAAAGAGGAGTTCCCTAGATTGTTCAGGCTATCTATTAAGAAAATGGGCTCCTTAAGGTTATTTGTTGAAAAGAAAGGAAACTCAAAAAATTGAGAGTTAAGCTTCAGAAGGCATTTGTTTGTTTGGAAGGATGAGGAACTTCTTGGGCTCAGAGATGTGTTGAGATTAGCCCCATCAATTAATTCGAATGGTGTGGATAAACCAGTTTGGTTAGCAGCCCAATCAGGTCAATCTTTTGTCTTAACCCTTTTATAATCATATAGTTGTAGATGCTGCTGAGTGGGGTTTAATGAGTAAACTGGTTTGAGTGAATTATCTTCCACCCAAAGTGCAATTTTTTGGGTGGCTTGCTTGGAAACATAAGGTAAAGACCTCTGTGTTTCTGCAGAGGATTGGGATACTAGATGGAAATATACCTTCTGATTGTGTGTTTTGCAAAAATGAGCCAGAGTCAGTAAAGCATGTGCTTATTTTGTGCCCCGTGGTCTAGAGGGTGTGGACAGGTTTGTTGCAGTGGTGGGGTGCTTTGGGTTGTGCCTAGTTCAGTCGAATGTCTGCTACAATGGTGGGCTGGCATCTAGTTTAACAAATCAGATAAAAGAATTTGGAAGGCTCTTCCACTTGTTGCTCTTTGGTCAATTTAGAAGTGTAGAAATGATTGTGTGTTTAATGGTGTTCAACCAAAGATAGGAGAGTTGTAGGAATCAATTATCATCAGAGTAGCTATTTGGCTCAAAGCTTCATTCAAAGACTTCCAATACTCTGTTAATGATTTCTTTTTTAATATTTATTAGATTAGGAAATGTATTGGTGGAAGGGTGTGAAGTGTAACTTGTCCAAACTTAGTTTTGTGGCTACATAGTTTGTTAGAATGCAATGCTTAGTAGTGACTGCAACTCATGGGTGTTTTTTGCTGGTTGTTGTTTGTTGGGTTGTGATGCTGTCTACTGATGTTGGTCTGCTAAGTCTTGGTGTTGGTTGCACTGCTCTATTGCTCAGCTGGCTTGTTAGTCTGCTAAGCTCAGCAGTGGATTGCTTGCTGGTGTTTTTTCTTGCTTTTGCTCTGTTTGTTGGTCTCTCACCAACTAGGATGTTTTTGCCCAGTGGGAGGGAAAAAAAAAGAAAAAAGCGGCAGTACCAAAGTTTTTTGGCAACAGTGCTTCAATTGGTGTTGTTTGTTATTCTCGAGTTGACTTGGTCAATTAAGAATTGATGCTTTCGACACTTTAAATGTTTGTCCCTCGACAAAGTCTTAGTCAACATATCCGAAATATTATCATCTGTGTGAACCTTTTCGAGTTACAACAGTTTCGAATCTAACACATTACAAATCCAATGGTATCTTATATCAATGTGTTTTGATCTCGAATGAAAAGTAAAATTTTTACTCAAGTGAATAGCACTTTGATGTAAGATACCAAAGGGGGAGAATTGTTGGGATATACCTCCTTATTGGAGTTTGAGACCCAATTGGTTTCGGTTAAAGAATTTTAATTTGGTTGGTTTGGGTATAATATATTTTATATATATTATATCTAATTTGTGGAGACCCAATCTTATTTGGTAACAACTAGGGTTTTGATGGAACAAGCCCAAAAGTTTAGATATATATATTGTTCAATAATATATTTGAGGAAGATAAACTGTTTTCTTCTTCCGAGAGAGTGGCTGCTGATTAATTCCTCTATAACACTACAAGAATTAACACTTTTGCCAACCAAAAAATTGGTCGCTAAAAGCCCATTTTTGGTCGGCAAAAGTTATCCGCGACCAATTTTTTTGGTCGCTACTTTGGTCGCCAATTGAGGGTCAGCAAAAGTAATTCGCGACCAAAATTTTGGTTGGTCGAGAAAAGTTGGATTTGCCGACTAAATTTTTGGTCACTAAATATATCATTATCGCGACTAATTAATTTAGTCACTAAAACACTTTGGTCGCGAAAAGTAATATTTTCCCGACCAAATATGTTTGTCGCCAAAAGCAAAAAATTGGCAACCAACTGTTTTCGTCGCCAAGAGTTGAGGAATCGCCAACTAATAATTTAGTCGCCAAAAGGTAAGGAATTGCCGACCAATGATTTTAGTCGCAAAAGTGTAGAATTTGGCGACCAATTATTTAGTCGCCAAATGACATTAAACAATCAACGACTAATTAGTTAGTCACCAAATCTCTTCTTCTTCTTTTTTCAACAATCAATTTTTGTTTATAAACATTCAATCTAATATTGAACAAAATTCATTCAACCCAACCCAAATATAACATTAAAATTCATCATATTTTCCTGCTCAATCCCAAACTTTACAATCATTCCATTCAAAATATTAATTGAGACAAGTTTTAAACATCCATCCATTGAAAACCAATAAGTAATTGAAGAAAAATTAAAAGGAAAATCAATGAAAGAATCCAAAAAAAATTCTAAAACAGGAAGGAATATATATGGTTTTGAAGCATCAGCCTTATGCTTGATCGTTCTTTTCACCAAGCATCAGCCTTGTGCTTGATCGTTCTTTTCACCAAGCATCAGCCTTGTGCTTGATCGTCCTAAAGAACCACCAAGCATGTTCTTTTCATTCTCAAATTCATCCTTGAATGCATTCCATAAAGTCATCCACCGAATAACCTCCTTGTGACAGATAATGAGAGCAGTGAAGTGCTGTAAAATAAAATGAAGTAAGATGATTATAATGAGGTGCTGACTTTCTATTTGAAAACCAATGAGCTGAAAGGGCTCAAAATGGGAAGAAAAGATAAACACAACAACATTAAACAACTTGCCTTTCTCTTCTCATAGAATTCAAGTCTTACGTGGAAGAATTCTTCAAGAACTACAAATCAAAAGAATTAAAATGTAAATAACCTGAAAATTTGATACAGGATTAGAGGTTAATCTGAACTGGTGTATAGTACAATCATACTCTGCTCAGGGGTTTCATATTTCTTAATCACGCCTTTTAGGTCGAACAGATGCATGTTGCTTGTGCTGATAGTTGTGGTGAGTTTAAATTTCTTTAGCAAGCCCTCTTGCTTTGCCATGATCAAGTTCTCCTCGGACATAATAACTTCAAAGTGTACGGTGGTGTCATCGTTGTGCTCTCTGTAATCCTGCAACCATTAAAATCTATTGTGAGACTCCAAACACCTCAGAGAGAGAGAGAGGTAAGCCATAGAGCTAATTGCTTCCACAATGACTGTGAATGCACTCCCACCCTCTTTTCTGGCCAGCTCTTCGAGCCATCTTTGGTGTAGCCCTTAGGTCCTAGAGCCTATAATGTAAACAAATTAAAGAAAATGAAGCATTAAAGAAATTATCCATAAGCCTTGAGTCATAAAAGTAAACTGTTTATTCTAGTTCACTTAGCTCCTTGAATGAAATCTCTAAAAACGAATGAATAGGATCGGAGTGAATTGTAACTAAGAAACTGGAGATGACACTTGGTGGCATCCACATGGACCACAAACTGTAGATGCATTAAGAATAAAAGGTCCTAAATTGATATATTATATCACCAATCTGATCATCCAATCACCTATACTGCATACTGATAGTCACAATGAGTTTGCAGGCATTGAAGTGCATATAATAAGGTAGACTGCATTGTTAAGACAATAAATCATATATCAGACCCATTTCATTTAACCTATGTAATGAATTTCTTACTACAATACTTGGTATTTGATGTGTTAAGATTGGGAGTAAGAAAGCACTATACAAAAAATGAATTACTTCTAATTTAGCATGGCCTTTCATTTCATTCTGTTATCGCTGCATTGATATTTTGGGGGTTATGAATCATGGATTGAATATCCTGTTTAGGTTTTAAAACAAGGCAGAGATGGTTATAAAGGGAATTGAAGATCATACCTTTTCTATAAAATCAATGGTCTTACTGCCTGTAATCTTGTTACCTTGTTGATCAGTGACATGAAATACTATTAAGAGAACTGAAACTGGTCAACTATCTGCATGTGTGTGTGCTTCTGTGAGAGAGAGGCAACGTGGAGGTCATAAAGAGGGCACATTTCCATAAGCTCCCTATTAGTTTTTTTAACTCATTGGTGCATGTGTATGATCATGGGGATGCATATAGGTTCCACGACCAAAATTACCATCAAAGTAATAATGCCAAATTCACTTGTATATGGACATGCAGCTTAAAATTCATTCTTCGGGTTCAATGAACATCTTCACATGAACCTTGATTAGGACATGAGTGATCAAAGTGAAAACCACGTAGTGGAGACCATATGCAGAATGTAGTTAATTTGGCTAATTTAACAAAAACAGGGTAGATTTGCTCACAGACACACAAAAGACAAGATGCTAAAAATGTGTAGATTAAAGAGAGCTTATTGCAAACATGATGAGTATGCCCTTTTTATAAGCCTTAACATTAAGGAAATAGCAAGTAAAAGAGTAAACCCACCATCCATGAACCATCCACCATCAGAAGAGATGTAAGCCTTGGTGATGGTGAGGTCAAGGTCTGTTAGGATTTGTACCACTTCCAGCAGTATTCCTGGTTTGTTCATGCTGTCAACCTGACATACATCCCACAACCTTCATCTAATCATTGCAATAGAAAACTAAATAATAAAGTGAAGTGTTAAGAGTCTGAATCTAAACTAGAAAATAAGAGTGTTATTGTCAATGCACCACATAATAAAGATGCAATTCGGTTAGCTGGTAGGGTCTTTTGGTGGTGTTCCAAAGGTTTGGGTCTACTACTCTCTGTGGGCTTGAAAATTGTCATTAAGTCCACATCTTTCAAGCCTCCAACACATGACCTCCACTTATCACCTCACAAAACAAAATAAATAAATAAATAAATAAAGGGCTAGAAGCAGTGCCAATAAAGTGACTAAGGCCGCTGAAGGACAAAGGTTTGGCCAAAATTGCAACCAGTTTAGCTCATAAGTTCATCATGTTCCATATTATTCAATGGGACATAATAAAGAGAATGTTGCTATGAGACAGCTAAGTTCATTATAGAAATATTGTGGCAGAGACCTGTTTTCTTTATACAAATTATGCTTAAGAATCCACCATTTTGACTAAATTCAAGGGCTCCATCAGTGTGTATTAGAATACTGATCAATGAACAATGAACTCATGAGGATGCATAAAAAGGAAAGCCATTCAAACCCCAATGCTCTTAATCACTGAAATCAAACTGCAATACATAAATGTGCCACAAGTCTGCTGTCCATTAGTTCAGAATATTTAAGTTGGTTTGATTTCAAGCTTCAGACCATAATTAATCAACATCCTATTTCAATGAACGCATACTCCAAGTAAAGGGCCAACAGAGAAATTAACCGTTTTTTTAACAAGATCAAACCAACTACAGAATGACAAGTGCATAAACTATTTTTGATGAGTTCATTTCCAAACCATACAATTTGTAAAACAATTCATAACAATCTTCAAACAAAAAAAATTAAACTCTTTTATACTTTAGGAATTTACGCCAAAATAGTCAAAATCCCAAATTTGAATCCAAACCAAAAAATTGATAATCCAATTCATAGATATACCTAATATAGCATATTAAAAAAAAAAATCAACTAAATTTCATAACTTTGAAGGCACTTCAATTCAGATCAAAAGTTACAGACCCAATTCCAAATCCAAAGACGAAATCTTAACCCAGTTAACCGAATCACCCAATATCACCAAAAAACCCCAACTAACAAGCTAAAAACTAGCAAGAACACAGCTAATTCAATAGTCCTCCCAAAAAAGAAAAAACCCTAAAATCAAATTATCCCAATTCAATTAGCCATCATCCACATCACTAAAAAAACACACAACTAAACTCAAACTTACTGAGATTCGAACCAAACAAAGGATTGAACCACGGCCCAGATCGCGAGAAACGCATATTCAAAATCAAAATCATACCGAAAAATCATGACAAACCTCTTCAAAATCATCAATCAGGGCTCAAAGGCTAGAGAGTGAGAGAGCGAGAAACAGAGAGAGAGGGATAGACAGACAGACCGAGAGTGAGAGAGAACCTGTGAGGATGTGGCGGGGGCGGTGGCTGTGGCGCTAGCACTGGCGTGCGACGTTGGTCAGCAATGAGATGAGATTGGGTGAGGATCCCCCAGAAATGAGGAGTCCATTAGACAAAGGGCGATGGCGATGGCGATGGGCGACGAACGTGAGCAATGGTGGTAAGGGACTTTGATGAGCTAGAGAGAGTGGGCACCGATTGAGAGAGAGAACGCAGAGAGAGGGAGAGGGCGGATGAACATACTACACAGAGAGCGAGTTGGAGACAGAAAGGAGATCAGGACCTTTTTTTAATTTTTTTTTCTGTTTTCCAGGTACAAAACGACGTCGTTTTTTGATTGGCGACCAAATTTTTTTTGGTGCCAAAAAATTTCATTTCCCCCCTCCATGTTTCAAATTTCCCTCCTAAACTTTTGGCGACCAAAACACCATATTAGTCTTAGAAAAGGTACCTTCGCCAACAAACTTTTTTAATCGCCAAATCTCAATCAACAACGACTAAAATATTAGTCGCTAAAAGTACTAATTTGGCGACTAATTTTTTTTTGTCGCCAAAATGTAACATTCCGCGACCAAATTTGTAGTCAGTCGCCAAAAGCATACCAATTTCTGCGACTAACTCATTTTTGGTCGCCAAAATGTGATTCTGCGACCAACTCATATTTGGTCGCCAAAAATATTGATCATTCACAACTAATTAATATTTGGTCGGCAAAAGTGGTCGGCAAATGTGTAAATTCTTGTAATGTAATGTGCTGCTACAAATTATATTGATTGAAAAATCAATTCGGTGGGTTACAAAAAGCTGAGCATCTTTGGTGGGCTAATTATCATTGTGGACAATCATACTACTAGTTTGATTTAGTGGGTGGATTTCGGCAATCTTTGTGTGGATTGATTTGGTTATTATTTTGGGTCTTCTTCAACTCTGGTTCTGAAGATTTTGGTTCTTCTATTTGGTGAGCTCTTTCCTCTTATTTATTTGTGATTATTTGGAATTCACCTAAGGGTGATTTTGTGAGACCATTGGTGTCTCGTTTGTTATCGTTTGAAAACTCTTTGGTTGATAGTGGAATCGGATTTCGATCCCGTGGACGTACCTCACATTGAGAGAACCACGTAAAAATTCTTGTATTGCTTTTGATTTTATTTTTCAACATTAATTTTTATTCTCATTGATTGATTTACTTATGGAAAATCACATATTTTCTTTAACACTACCTTATTGAGAGGGTAATTTTTGGGAAAAATTGGGCCGAGCTTCGAGTTGGGTTTTGAGGCCCAAAACGCAGAGGACTAGGTAAAAAGGCCGTACTGAATACTCCGGCCTAGAAGGCAAGGTTACTCCGGCCTTGGGGAGACAAAGTTACTTCGGCCCAAGGAGGTGAGTTTATTCCGGCTCAAGAAACGAAATCTGCCAAAAAGACAAGTGTTAGTTCGGTTAATAGACTAAACGAGAGCCGAAATAAAATACAAGGAAGAAGACCGAAGTTAAATTACCAGGCTCTCCCATTTTCCAATTTATAGGTCGGCCAGGAATTTGGGCTTGAAAATCCTCAAAGTTCCCAGAGACCCAAAAGAAATCATCATCATTAAGATCTTTGTCCGGAGTGTGCTTATAAGTGTATGGCTGAAGAGTGGTTGGCTGGAATAAAC